CACAGCAACAGAACACTGAGACAGTCATGGTGTCTCTCCACAGCAACAGAACACTGACTGAACAGTCACGGTGTCTCTACACAGCAACAGAACACTGAGACAGTCACGGTGTCTCTACACAGCAACAGAACACTGAGACAGTCACAGTGTCTCTCCACAGCAACAGAACACTGACTGAGACAGTCATGATGTCTCTACACAGCAACAGAACAATGAGACAGTCATGGTGTCTCTCCACAGTGACAGAACACTGAGACAGTCACGGTGTCTCTCCACAGCGACAGAACACTGACTGAACAGTCACGGTGTCTCTCCACAGCAACAGAACACTAAGACAGTCATGGTGTCTCTCCACAGCAACAGAACACTAAGACAGTCATGGTGTCTCTCCACAGCGACAGAACACTGAGACAGTCACGGTGTCTCTACACAGCAACAGAACACTGAGACAGTCATGGTGTCTCTCCACAGCAATACAACAGTAACTAAGACACCATCACAACTGGAAATGAACCCCTGGGCAAGCCTGTGGAAGAAGACTGCTCACTATAGGTGACGCCCTTCCCTGACTGGGACCTGAGTCTTTGTAAATGGAGCAAAGGAGACAAGCAGCATGCCTTCCTTGTCTTCTGCCTCCTGATTGTACACGTGATGAGACCAGCTGCTTCAAGCTCCCACACCTCGACATCCGCATCGTGATGGACTAGACCATGAACTGTGAACCAGAATAAACTCCTCCTTTAAAATTTGCAGTTGTCAAAGTATTTTACCATAGCAACGGGAAGAGAAACTAAGGTACCAGTTAAGGTGCTGACTTCAGTCTCAGTCATTAAATCACTAAATGGGGGCTGGAGAGATGGCTCAGTGGTTAAGGGCGCTTGGTGTTCTCACAGCCCAGTTTCCGGCACCCCCATGGTGGCTCACAACTGTCTGCAACTGCACTTCTAGGAGATGGGATGCCCTCTTCTGGCCTCTTCCAGCCCCAGGCACATACGCGTTGCACATAAAGACACGGAGACAAAACACAAATACACATACAATAATTTAAAAAAAAAAAATCATTAAATGAATTTTGTCTTGGGATTAGGACAGAATTTTTAACATTTTATAAAAAAGACCCTAAACAGACTTTGGCCATTTTGTACTATATATTCAAACAAAGCAGGATTCTCAGTGTTGCCCAATTATAAAATAAAAATACTGATTAACTCAGTTTAATGTTCTGCAGAATCAAATATTCAGTCAAGATTTAGTCAATTATGTAAAAATAAACAAGTACACTAATTTCATTAGTGTGTAAATTTACTTTCATCTTTAACAAATGGAAAAATCACATATATACCAATCAATAGTTTTAAAATAATTCTTAATGATCCATTACTAATGTTTGATTTAATTATCTTAGACACCTATAGGCCAGGGTTGTTTAGGAACTTCTCAGGCATGGGCCAGCAAGCCGAGTCCCTGTGGGAAAGGCGTTTGCTGCCGAGCCTGACCACCTGGGTTCCTTGCTCAGGACCCACATGTTGGCATGAGAGAGCCGACTCCCACAAACTGTCCTCTAACCACACCCACGGAGTAGCGCATGCACACATACATAAACATAAGCTTTTCTTTGAGGCAGGGTTTCTCTGGGTAGCCCTGGCTGATCCTGGAACTCACTATGTAGCCCAGGCTGGCCTCAAACTCATAGCTCCACCAGCTTCTGCCTCCTGAGTCCCAGGATTAAAGGCGTGTGCCACCACTGATATATAAGTTTTGAAATTCTAATTTAGGGGCTGGAGAGGTGGATCAGTGGTTAAGAGCACTGGCTGATCTTCCAGAGGTCCTGAGTTCAAGTCCTGGCAACCACATGGTGGCTCACAACTATAACGGGATCTGATGCCCTCCTCTGGCCTGCAGGCATACATGCAGACAGACCACTCATACTGAAAAATAAAAAGAAAAAAATACTTTAAAAAATTTAAAAATTTCTCAGACAAAACAGGGTCAAGGATGGAAAAAAAATTAATTCTACTTTAGACGATTTCACTCTGGCTTACTTTTCTCTTTACAGCTATTCTCTATATTTTATCTAGCAATGTGTATGATTTTCATATTTAACCTATAGAATCCCTAAGTGTAAGGAAAAAGATTTTCCTAAATAAACAATCCATCCTTTTCCTGCAGGTGTGATACATACCGCACATGTTTAGTAACTGGGGGAATAAATTCCATTCTTATACAATTTGCATATGTGCCTTTGTTTCTGGGTATTATATGCACATCTTTAAATGTGTTTCCTTTTGGCTCTGTTTCACACTATTTACTCTTTCGGTTATTGTGGAAAATATTTTTGTGATGTTTTAAAAACACAGGTTCAATGGACTGGAGATGCTCAGTGGGTAAGAGCACCACTTGCTCTTGCAGAGGACATGGGTTCCGTTCCCAGCACCCACATGGCCCCTCACAACCATTGTAACTCCAGTTCCAGGGGATCCGGTGCCCTCTTCTGGCCTCCTCTGGCACTGCATTCATGTATTGCACAGACATACATGCAAGCAAACACCCACACCCACTAGATAAACATGACAAATAGTTAAGAATACAGACCTAACTGCTCCCTGTCTGCCTTCCCCACACCCCGAAACAAATGTCTCTCTAGCCAGTGGTGGTGGCACACACCCATATTCCCAGCGCTTTAGCGGTGTACGCAGGAGGGCTGGGAGTTCAAGATCATAGCTGGAGAGTGAATTGAGGGCCAGCTTAGGCTACATGAGGCACTGTCTCAATTTATTTTCCATAACAATTTCACTCATTAATTAACTGGATTACCTAGTATATCAAAGCTGTAGGCTGCTGCTAACTCAGAATATTCCTAAAAGAAGGCTTGACTGTTCTCCTAAAAATCTTCCTCTTCTAAGCTCGCAAGTACTTAGACAACCCCTGCCTTAGCTGAGCCACACATTATTTAATGATCAAGATTCGATACATGGGATTACTCAAAATCATCTTGAACATGAGTTTTTGCCAAATGTCCTAACTCTGAGCACCCCAAAGCCCTCCTACTTCCTTTCAAACCCGAGATGGTGGAGAAAAACTCATCACTGCCGGTCAGAACTGAACACGCCTCCACCTCCAATACTCACAAAGAGACTCCACAAATATCCCGCTTTGGTGGTTGGAAAGAAAATGGCCCCAAAGCGAGTGGCACTATTAAGAGGTGTGGCTTTGTCGGAGGAGGTGTGGCCTTGTTGGAGGAAGTGTGTCACTGTGGGGGTGGGCTTTGAGGTCTCTTCTGCTCAAGCTTCCCCCAGTGTAATACTCAGCCCACTTCCTGTTGTCTACAAGAAGTGGAACTCTCAGCTCCCTCTCCAGCACCACGTCAGCCTGCACGCCACCATGTTTCACCATAATGAAAATGGACTGAACCTCTGAACTGAAAGCCAGCCCCAATTAAATGCTTTCTTTTGTAAGAGTTGCCGTGGTCACGGTGTCTCTTCACAGCAATAGAAACCCTGCTAAGACACTACCCAAGAGAGTATTTTTTCCTCATTAGAGTTTATAAGAGCACTGCATGGGTCCCTGAAGCAAATGTTGGCTGGCGATGAGGGATACCCTTAGGCTTCGGGGAACCCTCTTTTGTGTTGCAATGGAGAAGAAGACCCAGTCACTGGATAGAAGAGATTTTGTCAGGCTGATGAATTTCAGGAATTAAAGTTAACCTGGCTGAAAAAATAAGGTGGCATTTCAGGGAACAAGAAATGCTTCTTACCTGGGACATGGCGTTAAAACTTCAAGACTCTATGACTGTGTTTCTGGGAGGGGGGCGATGTCCTGAGAAAGCACAGCTGGACAGAAAAAAGAAACCATGAGTTCCAGGTATGCCCTGCGGCCCCAGCGTCACTGGCCTTAAAAGCCTCCCAGTCCTTTGGTTTTTCCTGCTCCCATCACAGTCGTACATTTGAGGTGTCATTAAACTTACAATTATTTTCCCCTATGTACTTTATAGCTCCGGAACTCAACATATATTTTATGTCTAAGTTATCTCTTCCACTTACAATTGTAAACAATAAGAGCAAATACAGAGTGGCATTATCAAGTAAGAATCTTCCACCCTTTTACACACGAAGGTTTTTCATTATTGAAGATACCCAAGCCCATCGTTGAGCAAATAACTGAGCCAAACTGGAAACTTGACTTGAATTTATAGTGTACAGATGATGGTGTTAACGGGAAGTATGTCCCCACCCTTTCTACAAGGATGAGAAATAGGCTACTAAATGAAGCTGCTTTACACAGTGGGCGTCTGAGGGACCATGTGATCTAGAAGACACTGCTAACGAACGGAAAACAACTTCCTCAGAAAGAGGAGAGAGGGGAAGTGTAGTCAGTCACTGTTTTAATTGTGAATTCTTTTTTTTTTTTTAAATTAAACTTCACTGCCTTAAAGAATAATGAATCACTTAAGAGTGCTGGAGAAGCAGCTTGGTGGTTAAGAGCACTGGCTGCTTTTCCAGAGGACCGGGGTTCAATTCCCAGCACCACATGGCAGCTCACAACTGAATGTAACTCCAGTTCTAGTGGATCTAACTAACTCCCTCACACAGACACGCATGCAGGCCAGACACAATGCACATAAAGTAAAAATAAATTCTTTTAAAAAATCTTAAAGAAATAAATCATTTAAGCAAGCACTATAACTCGGTGCCAAGAAGCCCTCTCTATATATATTAGATCCTATATATTAGTCCTGTATCTATATATTAGTCCTATATCTATATATTAGATGCTATATATTAGTCCTGTATCTATATAGCTCTATGTTAGAATGCTTTCATTTGAACCCTCAGTACACCACATCTGTTCACACAATCACACAGTATCACAGCCTTCCTCATGCCCCATCTCAGACTGTCACACATTCTCCAGCACCGTCTGCCTCGAACGGTTACAGTCTCAGACTCGATGACACAGCCTTATATACTGTCACTCAGGCCCACACACTGTCACAGGCTCCATGACACCTGATCGTAAATGCTCCACTGGAATAGTATCACACAGTCCCAAACACAGCCTCACTCTCCGCAGGTCTGCGCAGTCAAATGTGGGTCTCACAGTCTGTCACGGTGCCACCACACGGTGCCACCACATCACAAGGCACCGACCCGAGACGCTGTCTCATACAGTCCCAGTCAGTCTTGCGCACATCCTCAAAGCCTCTCGTGGCCTCGTCATTCGCACATTTTCTCTCGCACACTGTCCCAGGCCCTCTTAGACAGGGTGGTATAGTCCTTACCGACACCCGCATTGTCACGGCCTCTCACACTCTCAAAAGAGTATTCCGCCCCAGGCCCCCTCCACAAAGTGGCTGGGGCTCAACCCTGTCACATGGGTCCCGGAGCAAATTCTCCCATGCCGCCCCCTGTGCTGTCCCGTACTGTCAACACACCGCCCCGACTTCCCGGTCTCGGACAGTGTGCCGCCTGCAAGTCACAGGCACCTCAGACACTAGCCCTGGGACCCCAACATTCTCACACACACCCCACCCTGTGCGGTCACTCGCCTGGTCACAGCCTTTCGGTCCCACACAGTCCCCAGTCACGGGTCCCCTCGCCCTGTCACGTGGGTCTCCAAACACACGACCCCCCGAGCTGTCACAATGTCACAGCCACAGTCCCACACAGTCCCCAGTCACGGGTCCCCTCATAGGGGGTGGCGGGGGTCTCACTGTCACGTGGGTCTCCAAACACACGACCCCCCGAGCTGTCACTCACAATGTCCCCAGGCACGGGTCCCCTCGTGCACACTGGCGTGGTCGCGTACACACACACACACACACACACACCCCGTCAGTCTCACACAACGCGCAGGTTCAGTCACAGGTTCTTCCGAGAAAGCGGGGCAGCCGCGCTGTCAC